ATTTACACTTACAATGAAAGCCCTAACATTTAATATAGGGGAAATAAATGAAAGTAATCAATGTATTGTAGTTCAATTCTATTGATGTCATTAAAGCTCCTTAATATTTTGACTTTTCAGAATGTTTCAACTATCTGAATGATTCTTTTTTAAAAAAGATTTTTAAGAAAGATTTTATTTATTTATTTATTTGAGAGGGAGAGAGCTAGAGAGGGTGAGAGCATGAGCAGGGGGAGGGGTAGAGGGAGAGGGAGAAGCAGATTCCCCGCTGAGCAGGGAGCCCGATGTGGGACTCGATCCCAGGACCCTGGGATCATGACCTGAGCCGAAGGCAGATGCTTAACCAACTGAGCCATCCTGAATGATTCTCTTAATGAACAATAAAATTCTTTCAGAGCATAAAGTTGACCTTGTCATTCTTTTTTTTTTTTTTTAAAGATTTATTTATTTTTATATTTGAGAGAGCGAGAATGAGAGAGAGAGAGAGAGAGTACATGAGAGGGGGGAGGGTCAGAGGGAGAAGCAGGCTCCTTGCTGAGCAGGGAGCCCGATGCGGGACTCGATCCCGGGACTCCGGGATCATGACCTGAGCCGAAGGCAGTCGCTTAACCAGCTGAGCCACCCAGGCGCCCCTGACCTTGTCATTCTTAACCTTAAAACCTTTCAGTGGCTGCTCCACATCTTGTACAGAGTAAGGTACTCCTTGGCAAGGTATGAAAGATCCTTCAGGTTTTTTGTTGTTTTTTTTTTAAGATTAAAAAAAAATTTTTTAGGTAATCTCTCCACCTAACATGGGGCTCAGACTCAATGATCCTGGGATCAAGAGTCTGGTAGACCAACTAAACCAGCCAGGCACCCCCAAAGATCCTTCAGTGTAGCTGCTTGTTTATCTTGAGCTTTGTGTCCTGCTAGCATTCCAGGAGTTACCTTAGCTCCCTGGCCACACCTTGCTACATCACACTGCTGAGCCCTTGTTTATTGTGTTCCCTATGCCTGAAATTCCTTATTTTAACCTGGGGAAATCCCTTTGAAAGCCAAGTTTCACAGTGTTTATGGTGATGTGTTTCCCCTATTCCTTCAAAGTTTATTATTCCCTTCTGTGCTACTGTGTAACCTTGTGCGTAATTCTGTTACTGACCTTTTCATGAAATAATGTAATTATTTAAATATGGGTTTGAATCTAATAAGTTGGAGGTGCTTTGAGGGCATTGTTTATGTGTTGTTTCTTAATAATTGTGTCTTAAGTATTGAATAAATAAATGCATTACCATATGAAGCCATATTAATAAGAAATTAGAATATATTCTTCTAATGACTATAATAAATAAGCAGCAAAATTCATAAGTACTGGTGGTCATTCTGAGGAGCTGCGTGCAGCATGGACTTCCCTTCTAGGTCAGGGCTTGCTAGTGCTCTGGAGAAGCCTGGAGAACAGGCAGAGCTGTGAGGGGGACTTACTCACTGAGGTGGCTAAGGGATCTATTTCTGCTGGCTTTGGCTGGAGAAAAGCTAGCTCTGGCCTTGTCAGGATGGAGAATTCAGAGCCCTCCCAGGGCTGTTGTCATCTGTTGAGCCCTTACTTGTTTGTCTGGTGCCTTGGGGTATTGTTCTATGAGGGAGATTTAGTATCTCCTTTGACAGAGGAGAAACAAACTCAGGGCCTAAACGGGTTTCTCCAGCTCACCACACAAACATGACCTTGTTCGGTTGGTTGGTTTTGTTTGGGTTTTGTTGGTTTGAAGACCGTTGGGGACCCATGTGGGTCCCGGTCCTCTGCTGCCTTCATTCACACTCTCCCTGGCTGACCTGGCTCACGACATGGTTGCTCCTTCCACCTTCCCCTCTCCTCTGGGCTCCAGACTGCCACCTGACGGCTGCACTCACACGTCCCGAAGGCATCTCACCACTGGCCTGTTGGAGTGGGGACTCCCGGTTCTCTTGCCCACCCCCACCCCCATACTGCACCCCTTCGCCTCTGCCAGGCTTGCCCTGCATAGAAAACAGCACATCATCTGCCCAGTTAGTTGTTTGAGGCAGAGACCCAGGAGGCGTTCTAGATTCCTCCCTTAGCTGGCCCCTCACCTTCACCCATCAGCAACTCCTATCACATCTAGTTCCGAAACACCTCCCCCTTACGTGTCCCATCTCCATTCTGCGCCTCCCAGACCGTCCCCTGCAGGCACCACTGCACTAGCCTGTGGGCTGATGTTCCTCCTTCTCTTCTTGGTTTCTTCACTCAGCAGGTGGTTGTTGGGTGCGCATGTACTCTTTACAGGTATACCTACCTCATTTTACTGCACTTACTTTACTGCGCTTTGCGATAATGTGTTTTTACAAATTGAATGTTTATGGCAACCCGACTTTGAGAAAGTCTATTGGTGCCATTTTTCCAAAAACATTTGCTCACTTCCTGTCTCTATGTCATGTTTTAGTGATTCTCGCAATATTTTAAAATTTTCATTATGATCATACTTTTTTTTTTAAGATTTTATTTGTCAGAGAGAGAGAGCACAAGCAGGGGAGGGGCAGAGGGAGAAGGAGAAGCAGGCTCCCCACTGAGCAAGGAGCCCAATGGGGGACTCCATCCCAGACCTGGGATCCCTAGACCCTGGGATCATGACCTGAGCGGAAGGCAGATGCTTAACCAGCTGAGTCACCCAGGTGTCCCATTGTGATTATACTTGTTATGGTGATCTGTGACATTGCTCTCACAATTGTTCTGGGGCACCAGGCACTGCACCCATGAAGATGGTGAACTTAATAGGTAAATGTTTTGTGTGTTCTGACTGTTCCACAGACCAGCCATTCCCCCACCTCTCTCCCTCTCTTCAGGCCTCTCCCTATTCCCTTGAGGTACAACAATATTGAAATTAGGCCAGTTAATAGCCCTACAATGACCTCTTAAACGTTCAAGTGAAAGGAAGAGTCACATGCCTCTCTAAATCACAAGCTAGAAATGAATAAGCTTAGTGAGGAGAGCATGTTGAAAGCCAAGATACACTGAAAGCTAGGCCTCTTACACCAAATAGTTAGCCAAGTCGTGAATGTAAAGGAAAAGTTCTTGAAGGAAATTAAAAGTACTACTCCAGTGAACACACAATGATAAGAAAGCGAAACAGTCTTACTGCTGATGTGGAGGAAGTTTGAGAGGTTTGGATAAAAGATCAAACCAGCTACAACATTCCCTTAAACCAAAGCCTAATCCAGAGCAAGACCCTAACACTCTTCGATTACATGAAGGCTGGGAGGCGTGAGGAAGCTGCAGAAGAAAAGTTGAAGCTAGCAGAGGTTGGTTCATGAGGTTTAAGGAAAGAAGCCATGTTTATGAGGTTTGAGTGCAAGGTGAAACAGCAAGTGCTGATGTAGAATCTGCAGCAAGTTATCCAGAAGACCTGGTGAAGATAATAAGGTGGCTACACTAAACAACAGATTTTCAACGTACATGAAACAGCCTTCTTATTGGAAAACGGTGCCTTCTAGGACTTTCACAGCTAGAGAAGTCAATGCCTGGCTTCAAAGCTTCAAAAGGACAGGCTGACTCTCTTGTTAGGGGCTATGCTGCTGGCGATTCAGTTGAAGCCAATGTCATTTACCATTTTGAAAATCTTAGGCCCCTTAAAAGTTGTGCTAAATCCACTCTGCCTGTGCTCTATAAATGGAGCAAGAAAGCCTGAATGGCAGCACATCTGTTTACAACACGATTTCATGAATATTTTAAGCCCACTGTTGAGATCTGCTCAGAAAAAGAGCCCTTTCAAGATGTTACTCCTCATTGACAATGCACCTGGTCACCCAAGAGTTCTGATAGAGATGTACAGTGAAATTAACATTGTTTTTGTGCTTGCTGACACAACATCCATTCTGTAGCCCATATGGATCAAGGAGTCATTTCAACTTTTTAGTCTTACTATTTAAGAAATACATTTTGTAAGGCCATAGCTGCTGTAGGTAGTGATTCCTCTGCTGAATCTGGGCAAAGTCAATTGAAAACCTTCCAGGAAGGATTCACCATTCTAGATGCCATTAAGAACACTCGTGATTCATGGGAAGAGGTCAAAATATTAGTATTAACAGGAGTTTGGAAGAAGGTGATTCCAACCCTAATAAATGACTGTGAGGGTTCAAGACTTGAGTGGAGGGAGTAACTGCAGATGTGGTGAAAATAGCAAGAGAACTTGAATGAGAGGTGGAGTCTGAAGATGTGACTGAATTGCTGCAATCTCATGATAAAATGTGAACAGATGAGCAGTTCTCATGGAAGAGCAATGAAAGTGGTTTCTTGAGAAGGAATCTACTCCTGTTGAAGATTTTGTGAAGATGGTTGAAATGACAACAAAGGATTTAGAAATTACATAAACTTGGTTGATAAAGCAGTGGTAGGTTTGAGAGGATTGATTGTAATTTTGAAAGAGGTTTTACTATGGGTAAAATGCTATCAAACAGCATCACATGCTACAGAGAAATCATTCGTGAAAGGACGAGTCAATCAGTGCAGGAAACGCCCGTCGTTATCTTATTTTAAGAAATTGCCACATCCGCCCCAGCCTTCAGCAACCACCACCCTGATGAGTCAGCAGCCATCAACACTGAGGCAAGACCCTCCACCAGCACAAAGATTGTGACTCACTGAAAGCTCAGACGATGGTTACATTTCTAAGCAATAAAGTACTTTTTAATTAAGGTATGTACATTGTTTTTTTTTTAGACATGATACTGTTGTACACTTAATAGACTGTGGTGTAGTGTAAGATTCATTTGACTTGCTTTAGTTCGGTACTTGCTTTATTGTGGTGGTCTGGGACCAAATTGCAATTATCTTTGAGGTATGCTTATACCATTATCAGCCCCATTGTGTTAATTAGATGTCTTCCTGGTTTATTTAAGTCTGCAATTTAATATATTTTTGAGGTCTTTTGGTTTTCAAAAACAAAATGATTTATAATCTAATTGAAATAACTGTAAACAAATTAGAGTCTTCATGCTTTCCTTTCCATCAACAGAATCCAACGTGGCGGAGTCTTGATTTTGGAATAATGCCAGACCGTCTTGATACATCTGTGTCTTGTTTTGTGGTGAAGATATGGGGTGGAAAGGAGGACATCTACCAGCTTTTGATTGAATGGAAAGTCTGTTTGGATGGGCTGAAATACTTGGGTCAGCAGGTAACTTTTAGACTGTAGTTGTGAGTATTTGTCTTCTCTAAACCTACCTAACCTTTCTGTATATTCTTTAGATTCTACATTTTCTATTATAGAGAACCTTTATGATTGTTTACTTAATTATAGAAATTTTGAGTCATTGCCAAGTTTAAAAATAATTTTTAACTGAAGAAACTTATGAAGAAGCACCCTAAGCTGTTAATTTAAGAGGAATTTTTTTTTTTGTAGGAAAGAATATGCTTTCCCATAGCATTCTACTTCTTCTGTTTTATTGCACTTGATCTTAGCCAAAAGACCAAGAAGCGATCTTCTGTTTTATTGGATCTAAAAATTAAGTTGCAAATATGGAACATACTATTAAATACTTCTCTTATGACCAGTAGAGTTGCATTATTTCGGGAAGAAGGAGAACTACTGTTTATTTATTTATTTATTATTTTTATTATTATTTTTTTTGGAGAGCTACTACTGTTTATTGAGCACAGGGCTGACAAGTGCCTGGCTTGCATACTACTACCAAGTCCCTGTGAGTGAGGTAGCTATTGGATCATAGCACTCTTCTAGCTGAGCTGAGAAGTAGCTCCATAATCCCTTTGGACACAGTGTTCTGGGATGCAACTAGCAATATATCAGAATTGCTGATGATATGAAACCTATTTACCATCCCCAGACATAGGTTATTATACTTAATATTTATAGCAGCCTTGTGAAGGTTGGTATTAGTGCCCTTATTTTCCAGATGGGAAAATTGAACCACAGAGAGTTTAATTACTCAAGATCACACTGCTAGGTAGAGCTAAGATTTAAATCCAGGCCTGGCTGACTTACAGATTCATTCTTTGTGCTGTACCACACTGATACATACATGTAGTCCTTGGTAACCTACCTTGGAATAAATGCTGTGTCTTTTTGTGATACCTGTGGGATACTGTTAAAGGTAACTCCAAAATGTTAGTCATGTCTATGAATATCCTTGATGTTTCTTAATATTTATTCAATATAGACTTTCTGGTATATTTCTTTTATTTATTTGTTTATTTATTTATTTATATTATTTTTTTTAGAGACAGAGAGCGTGCACGTGAACGGGGGTTGGGGGTTGAAGGGGCAGAGGGGGAGAGGGAGAGAGAGAAAGAGAGAGAGAGAGAATCTTAAGCAGGCTCCATACCCAGTGCAGAGCCTGACATAGGGCTTGATCTTATGACCCTGAGAAAATGACCTGAGCTGAAATCAAAAGTCGGATGCTTAACCAACTGAGCCACCCAGGCGCCCCTGCTTTATTTCTTTTAAAGAAACAATTTAGTTCTACATATTTTTTTTCAGATTAAAAAAACCCCTCTGCCCTCATTTTGCTTACCATATACTTTATTTTGTGTCTTCCTATAGTAGATCAGAACAATGCATGTAATAGATATTTTCCATAACTGAATTCTAACTGCTCTAGATTCTTAAGCTTTTTTTGTTTTTTATATTTTTCCTTTTGTTTTATGACTGATCTCAGCGAAAATTTATAAAATAATGACTTTTGGCTTAGGGCCTTTCTCCTCTCTTTCAGTACGAGATATTTGTTGCCTTTTGGCTGGCCAGCCAGAGCCCTGCACTGAGGTGCATACTTTTTCTGTCTTCCCACATACTGTAGTTGGCTCTCTGTGTGTAGACTATGGTATTGAGCACTTATCTTCTGGAAGTACTTACGTTTCATGGAGGATGATGCTTCTTAACATTAGAGTTGTATACCTATAGTTTGGTAGGGGAGTTTTTGGCCAAAGAAGATGGACTTCATGCTTTTCAACTCACATATTCCTTAGGTAGTGATCTTCTTAAAATACCCAACTGTGTTTATGTCGAACCTGCTCTAATTTCAGAGAGTCAGCTTTTGGGTGTCTTCTTACAAAACTGGTTATGTGGGTATAACGGAGAACAAGAGCAAGAGAAAACATGTTTTTTAAGCCAGTTAGAAACTTATCATTGTAGAAAGTCAAAACTCTCCTACAAAATAGATATAACAAGTAACATACTACTAGAAAATCAGATAAAATAAAATTACAAATTTTCAGGGGAAAGCAAGACTAAGATATATCAGGAGAATAGCCAGAATTACTTAGGTTCATTGACTGATCATCTGCTTTCTACCAGGTATTACTCTTACTGTTAAGGTTCCAGAGACTGATAAGACAAGATCCTTAGACTTGGTAAACTGATGATTGGTGAATACCTGCATAGACCTGCATGGTACCATACTGTTTTGATTGTTATAGCTTTGTAATATAATTTGGAGGAGTATATGGAAGAGGTATTTAGACAAGTTGGGATAGAGTCAAGGAGGGCTGACTTTTGAATGAAACTTTTTTTACAGGTCAGGTTTGTTGGGGTATAATATATATACAATGAAATTCACCCTTTTAAGGTATGCAGTTCAATGGGTTTGACAAATGTATAGTCTAGTAACCACCACAATGAATAATGCTGCTGTGAATATTTAAATATAGATCTTTATGTTGACGTATGTTGTCATTTCTCTTGAGTAAATACATAGGAATGGAATTTCTGGGTCTAGTGGTAAGTGTATGTGTTGAAATTTATAAGAAGCTGCCAAGTTGTTTTCCATTCTAGTGGGTTTTAGCCATTATGATGGATTTGAAATGGTATCTTGTGATTTTTTTTTTTTTAAGTTTTAATTTTAATTATCCGGTGTTCATCACAAGTGCCCTCCTTAATCCCTATCACCTATTTCATCTGTCCCCCACCTACCTCCCCTTTGGTAACCACCAATTTTTTCTCTCTAGCTAAGAGTCTGTTTCTTGGTTTGTCTCTCTTTTTCCCCCTTTGCTTGTTTGTTGCATTTCTTAAATTCTACATGTGAGTGAAATCATATGGTATTTATCTTTTTCTGGTTGATTTATTTCACTTAGCATTATACTCTCAAGCTCCCTCCATATCATTGCAAATTGCAAGATTTCATTCTTTTTTATGGTTGAGTAATATTCCCTGTGTGTGTGTGTGTGTGTGTGTGTGTATACGCACCACATCTTCTTTATCCATTCATCAGTTGATGGACACTTCGGCTGCTTCCATATCTTGACTATTGTAAATAAAGCTACTCTAAACATAGGGGTGCATGTATCCCTTTGAATTAGTGTTTTTGTATTATTTGGATAAATACTTAATAATGCAGGGGCGCCTGGGTGGCTCGTCGTTGGGCGTCTGCCTTCGGCTCAGGTCATGATCCCCGGGCCCTAGGATTGAGCCCCGCATCGGGCTCCCTGCTCTGCGGGAAGCCTGCTTCTCCCTCTCCCACTCCCCCTACTTGTGTTCTCTCTCTCGCTGTGTCTCTCTCTGTCAAATAAATAAATAAAATCTTTAAAAAAAAAATTCAATTGCTGGATCGTAGGGTAGTTCTGTTTTTAACTTTTTGAGGTAACTCCATACTGTTTTCCACAGTGGCTGCACCAGTTTGCATTCCGCCAACAGTTCCTTTCTCTCCACATCCTTGCCAACACCTGTTGTTTCTTGTGTTCTTGATTTTATCCATTCTGACAGTTGTGATATCTCATTGTAGTTTTGATTTGCGTTTCCCTGTTGGTAAGTGATGATGAGCATCTTTTCATGTATCTGTTGGCCATCTGTATGTCTTCTTTGGAGAAAAGTCTGTTCATGTCTTCTGCCCATTTTTTTAATTGGATTATTTGCTTTTTGGGTGTTGAGTTTTATAAATTCTTTATATATTTCGGATACTAACCCTTTATTTGATGTGTCGTTTGCACATATCTTCTCCTATTCAGTAGGTTGCCTTTTAGTTTTGTTGATTGTTTCCTTGGCTGTGCAGAAGTTTTTTATTTTGATATAGTCCCAATAGTTTATTTTTGCTTTTGCTTCCCTTGTCTCAGGGGACCTAGCTAAAAAAAAGTTGGTGTCGCCAAAGTCAGAGAAATTACTGCCTGTGCTCTTTTCTAGATTTTTATGGTTTCAGGCCTCACATTTAGGTCTTTAATCCATTTTGAATTTATTTTTGTGTATTGTGTAAGAAAGTGGTCCAGTTTCATTCTTTTGCCCGCGGCTGTCTAGTTTTCCCAACACCATTTGTTGAAGAGACTGTCTTTTTCCCATTGGATATTCTTTCCTGCTTTGTCGAAGATTGATTGACCATATAATTGTGGGTTTATTTCTAGATACTCTATTCTGTTCCATTGATCTATGTGTTTTTGTGCCAATACCATACTGTTTTGATTATTGCAGCTTTGTAATATAACTTGAAGTCTGGCATTGTGATGCCTCCAGATTTGCTTTTCTTTTTCAAGATTGCTTTAGAGATTCAGGGTCTTTTGTGGTTCCATACAAATTTTAGGATTGTTTGTTCTATTTCTATGGAAAATGCTATTGGTATTTTGACAGGGATTGCATTAAATATGTAGATTGCTTTGAGTAGTATAGACAATTTTAACAATACTTGTTCTTCCAATCCATGAGCATGGAATTTGGAATGTCTTTCCATTTCTTTGTGTTGTCTTCAATTTCTTTCATCAATGTTTTATAGTTTTCAGAGTACAGGTCTTTCACCTCTTTGGTTAGATTTATTCCTAGGTATCTTATTATTTTGGGTGTAATTGTGAATGGGATTTTTTTTTTCTATTTATTTTTTAAAAAAAGATTTTATTTATTTATTTGATAGAGAGAGAGAGAGGAAGAGAACAAGCGGGGGGAGTGGCAGAGGAAGAGGGACAAGCAGACTGCCGATGCTGGGCTCGATCCCAGGACCCCAGGATCATGACCTGAGCCAAAGGCAGATGCTTAATCAACTGAGCCACCCAAGTGCCCCTGGGATTGTTTTCTTAATTTCTCTTTCTGCTGCTTCATTATGGGTATATAGAATCTTATGATTTTATTTGAATTTATCTAGTGATGAAGTCATGTTAAGCAATAAAAAATGTTTATTTGTCATCATTCTCTCTCTTGCCCCTTTTTGGGTGAAATGTTTATTCAGATCTTTTGGCCAATTTTTATTTGGCTGTTTGAATTCTCATTATTGACTTGTAAAATTTCTGTCTGTATTCTGGATATGAGTCAGTTCTTTATAAGATAGTATTTTCTGAATATTTTCTGCCAGTCTGGCTTGTCCCCCCCCTTTTTAAATGTTTTATTTATTTATTTGACACAGAGAGAGAGAGAGAGCACAAACAGGCAGAGTGGCAGGCAAAGGGAGAGGGAGAAGCAGGCTCCCCGCTGAGTAGGGAGCCTACCGCGGGACTCAATCCGAGGACCCTGGGATCACGACCTGAGCCAAAGGCAGACGCTTAACCCACTGAGCCACCCAGGCGCCCCTTGTCCTTTCATTTCTTTAAGTGTCATTTAAATAACAGAAATTTATAAGTGTTAAAGTCTACTGTATCGGTTTTTGCTTTTATGTTTCATACTTTTTGTGTCTTATCTAAGACATATTTGCCTAATCCAAGATCACAGAGATTTTCTCCTATGGGGTTTCTCCTCTAGAAGTTTTGTGGTATTAGGTTTTATGTATATTATCTATGATCATTTTGGATTAACTTTTATTTAAGGTGTAAATTTCATTGTTTTGCAGATGGATGAACATTTGTTCCTGTACTCTGTTGTAAGAGCTATTATTTCCCCATTGAATTACCTTGTTATCTTTGTTGAAAATCAATTGTTTAAAATAATTTTTGTGGGTCTGTTTCTGGACTCTCTTCTATTTCATTGTTCTACATGTCTTTCTTTATGCCCATACCACATTATCTTGAATACTGTAGTTTTATACATCAGGAATTAAGGTAATATGAATCCTCCAACTTTGATCTTTTTTCAGAATTGTCCTGGCTATTTTAGATCTTTTGCCTTTATGTATACACTTTAGAATTAATTTGTCAATTCTACAAAAATCTGAGAAAATTTGGGGAGAATTGACATCTTAATAGTATTGGATATTTCAGTCTATGGACATGGTATATCTCTCCATTTGTGAAAATCTTTGATTTCACTCATTGTTTTGTAGTTTTAAGTATACAGGTCTTGCACATATTTTGTTAGATTTGTACTTGTGGATTCCATGTTTTTTATGCTAGTTTAAATGCTATTCATTTAAAAAATATTCCTATTTCCAGTTGTTGTTGCTAGTATATAGAAACATTTCTATATTGAGCATGTATTGTGTGGCCTTGCTAAACTCATTTATTAGATCTAATAGCTTTTTTTTGGTAGATTCCTTTTGTAGATTGCTATGTAGGCAATCATGCCTGTAAACACATGGTCTTATTTCTTCCTTTCTAATGAATATGTGTTTTTCTCTTTTCTTATCATTTCATTGGTAAGACCTTAGTACAATGTTGAATAGAAGTGAGTAGAGTGGGCATCCTTGTTTTGTTACTGATGTTGTGTAAAAGTATTCAGGCTTTCATTATTAAGTATAATATTAGCTGTAAATTTTGTAGACACTTTATGAAAGGAAAGGAAATTTCCTTTCATAATGGATTACATTTGCTAATATTTTATTAAGGCTTTTTTTTATCTATGTCCATGGGGGATATTGGTCTGTACTTTTCTTGCATTGTCCTTGTCTGGTTTAGTATGAGAGTAATGCTGGTCTTGTAAAATGGATTGGGATGCCTTTACTCTTCTGTTTTCTGGAGGAATTTGTGTAAAATTGGTATTACTTATTCAGCAAATATTTGACAGAATTCTTCAGTGAACTCATCTGGGTGTTAAGATTTCCCTGTGGGAAAGTTTAAAAGTATGACTTCTGTTACTTTATTAGATGTGGGGCTATTTAGCTTATCTATGTCTTCTTATGCTTTGATAGTTTGTCTTCCAAAGAATTTATCGGTTTCACCTAAGATTTCAAGTTTATTAGTATAAAGATTTTCACAATATTACTATATCCTTGTAATGTATATAGGCTATATAATGATCCTTTCCTCTTTCATTCTTGCTATCTGTAATTTCTGTCTCTTCTCTTTTGATCACTCTTCTTAGAGACTTATCTGTTTTCTTAGGTTTTCAAATAACTAGTGTTTGGTTTCATTGATTATTGTTATTGTTTTCAGTTTCATTGATTTCTGATTTTATCCTTTAATTTTCTTTCTTTTGCTTGCTTTGGGTTTACTTTGCTCTTCTTTACTAGTTTCTTAAGGTAGGATTTTTGCATTACTGTTTTGAGACTTCTCTTTTCTAGAGTAAGCATCTAGTAAATTTTCCCCTAAGCCTTGCTTTAACTGTGACTCACAAACTTTTTTTTTAAATATTTTATTTATTTATTTGACAGAGAGAGACGCAGCGAGAGAGGGAACACAAGCAGGGGGAGTGGGAGAGGGAGAAGCAGACTTCCCGCTGAGCAGGGAGCCTGATGTGGGGCTCGATCCCAGGACCCTGAGATCATGACCTGAGCTGAATGGAGACGCTTAATGACTGAGCACCCAGACGCGCCATGACTCACAAACTTTGATGTTATATTTTCATTTTCATTCAATTCAGAATATTTTCTAATTTCCCTTTTATTTCTTCTTGATCCATTGGTTATTTAGAGATATAGTGTTTAATTTTCAAACATTTGTGGATTTTCCAGATATCCTTCTTTTGTTGTTTTCTACTTGAATTCTGTTGAGTTTAGAGAAAATAGTTTGTATGATTTCAATCTTTTCAGCTTTTTTTTTTTTTTTTTTTGACAGAGAGAGACACAGCAAGAGAGGGAACACAGCAGGGGGAGTGGGAGAGGGAAAAGCAGGCCCCCTGCAGAGCAGGGAGCCCGATGCGGGGCTTGATCCCAGGACCCTGGATCATGACCTGAGCCGAAGGCAGATGCTTAACGACTGAGCCACCCAGGCGCCCCTCTTTTAAGCTTTTTTGAGGCTTATTTTATAGCCTAGAATATAAAATCTCTTTTTTGGTGAATGTTTCCTGTATAAGTGATGTGTATTCTGTTGTTGAATCCAGATGTCAGTTAGGTTAAATTAATTGATAATCTTGAGTGAAATTTGGATGCTATGTTGGATTTAGCCAGAGGAGATGGGGGTAGGCACGGAAGTATGATAAAACAGAGCATAATCTGATTCATTCATTTTTACTTGAGGAAACTAGAGTCCAGAGTGATGATGCAAATTAGATATTATTATCTTTAAACTTTTTTTTAAAAGATTTTATTTATTTATTTGACAGAGAGAGACACAGGCCAAAGGCAGACGCTTAATGACTGAGCCACCCAGGCGCCCCTAAACTGTCTTCTTGAAAATAGATCTTTTGTGTTTTTTTCTGGGACTTTATAGTTTTTAAATAAAGCACTCTTATAGACTAATTGGATTGTGTTTTCTTTGAGATCAGAGAATGTATAGTATGTCTCTGGATCCCTTGTATTTCAGAAATAGCCTTTCCATAGCAATCTCAAGAAGTGTTTGTGGAAAATAAAAGTGAATGATCGTGCCTGTTATCTTGTGTGATGATTTTGTGAACCCTTTGACTAAAGCAGGAAGCACTGAATTGATTACCTGGTCTTAGGATAAATGATATGTTTTCTGCTGGCTTGTTAGATTAGTCAGCCTGTTTCTCAGCATTGAAGTAGATCCTGTTGTAACTGTCATGCCTTAATCATAACAAAACTTAATTGGAATGAGAAGAACTGATAGCGTGTTTTTCTTCTCTTAGATTCATGCCCGCAACCAAAATGAAATAATTTTTGGGCTGAATGATGGCTACTATGGTGCTCCATTTGAACATAAGGTAAGAGGATTTTTCTAATGCTGTGAGTTTTGTTTAGTGCCGCTGTGCCTTGACATATAGTGTACAAAGCTCTGTGTAAATAGAATCTTGTTTTAAGTATCATTGTACATTTATTTAGAGTGGCTTAAGGTGAATGCTTTTTAAAGTGAAAACTTGTTTTGTAACCACCCCGATTCATCTTTTGTAAATCCAGATTATTAATTTTCTTAAGAGGAAATCTGGGCTTTTTGTTCTTATTCTATGTAATTCTTTGGAGAGTCAAAACAGAATGGTGAATTTTGATTAAGTACAATACAATTTTATTAAATGTTTCAGATACCTTTTACACTTTTGAGTAAATTTAAGAAACTGTGAGTCAAGTGATACTACAGTCAAAGTGCTATCTCTATATCTACAGGCGATTAGAGAAAGGAAAGGGAAGAGAATTCATATTTACCAAGTACCTACTATCTAGGTTACTATGCCAGGTGATTCATGTTCTTTATCCCACTTAATACTAGCCACAAACCAAATGAGGTGAGTTTTCTATATTACTTGCTCTTAGTGATCACATTGCTTCATAATTCTTGGTTGTGTGAAATGCTATTGCTAGAATGCTGCATTCATTCAGCGGCTAATTATTGAGTACCTGATGTTTGTCAGCCATTGGGCCCTCTGTAAGTGCTAAAGGTACATTGGTAAACAGATGGATATTTTCCAGCACGAGTGTGTGGAAGAGACAAGCACTGGTAAAGTAACCTAACAGATGAATATATAGAAACACAAGTGGTGGTAATGCTATAAGAGCATGTAGTGAAGACCTTGCCTGCACTCTTAGGGACTCTCTATTTGAGAACTAGACTTTTAAGGCTATAATCCAGAGGATGAGTGGAAGTGAACCAAGTGCAGGGAGTGTGGGCTGAATGGGGAGAACATTCTAGCAGAGGAGGTTGGCAAGTTCGAAGGCCATGAAGTGGAAGAGCACGTGGTGGGTTTTAGGGACTAAAGGAAGGTCAGAGTGATGAGGAAGAGTGATACCTGATGAGGCTGGACAGGAAGGCAGGGAACCACATCATATAGAACCTTTTAAAGGATTTTATCCTAAAAGCAGTGGATTGTGTTGAAGGATTTTTAGCATGGCAGAGATATAATTTGATTTGTATTTTAACGATTTCACTCTGTAGTAAATACTGATTGTAGAGGAGGTAAGAATATATGTGGAAAGACAGAAGGGAGGATCATGCAGTATATTAGGTAAGAGATGCTGATACTTTGGAACAGAGTTATGGCAGAATACAGAGAAGGTGGATTTAGGAAAGTTTTAGGAGGTAAAAATCATTAGGACCTGGTATGCTTCAAATCTAGGGTATAAGGAAAAAGAAGGTGTAAAGGATGACTTTTGGGTTTCTGGCTTAGGTAATGTAATGGGATGGATAAATGTTCCAGGCACTGGGAGAACTAAGGGACACCAGGTGTGGTGGAGGCAGACTGAGAGCTGATATTTGATCATATGGACTTTGAGATGCCTTCAAGGTATCCATGTGCAGATTGGAGTTCAGAGGAGAGAAGTCGGTTAGAGATATAAATGTGGGGCCAATGGCACATAATCACTGAAATGATGAGTTCAGGCTAGGGACAGACTGTCAGTGAGGAAAAAGGGGCCTTAACCAAGCCTTGAGGACCTCCAACTTTTAAGGGCCAAGTAGAGGTGGAGGCATGGAAAAGTTGACTGAGAAGAAGGAGTGATGAGGGATGTATAAGGAAAAGAGTGTGGAGTCTCATAGGATCTCAGAGTCCAAAGAAAAAGAGTTGTTTTGTTTTGGTTTTTGGCTTTTAAGGGGCTGGAGTGGTCAGATAAAATGAGGACTAAAAATTGCCCATTGGATTTGGCAAAATGGAAGGTATTCTAGGTGACTTCATCAAATTCAATTGAAGCTCTGATAAGCTTTTTTTTTTAATTTGTTTTAAAGCCCTCATATTCTGAGTTCCTAAAGTTTATCAACAATGTGTATACCTTTGACATAAGAGATACCACTTTATAATTCTTTCTTCCTTTGTTGTATAGATCCTCTAATCTGTAAGCTTTTTTTTTTTTTAATTTTTTTATTCTTATGTTAATCCCCATACATTACAACATTAGTTTTAGATGAAGTGTTCCATGATTCATTGTTTGTGCACAACACCCAGTGCTCCATGCAGAATGTGCCCTCCTCAATACCCACCACCAGGCTAACCCATCCTCCCACCCCCCTCCCCTCTAGAACCCTGTTTGTTTTTCAGAGTCCATCGTCTCTCATGGTTCGTCTACCCCTCCGATTTCCCCCGCTTCATTCTTCCCCTCCCGCTACCTTCTTCTTCTTCTTCTTTTTTTTTTCTTCTTAACATATATTGCATTATTTGTTTCAGAGGTACAGATCTGAGATTCAACAGTCTTGCACAATTCACAGCGCTTACCAGAGCACATACCCTCCCCAGTGTCTATCACCCAGTCTCCCCATCCCTCCCACCCCACCCCCCACTCCAACAACACTCAGTTTGTTTCCTGCTAATCTGTAAGCTTTTTAAGGACAGATTTGTATATGTAATTTTGAATTCCCAGTACCTACCACAGTTCTTGAGACATGGTATTTGCTTAGTAAAAATGTTTGATTTAATGAGAGAATTATGGGATGGCTACTTTTTTTTTTTTTTTGCAGTGTCCCATTTATAGGGTTAACCATCCCGACCCTGTTGAGGGATTAAGTTCCTCTTGCAACTGGTAACTAGCACACCATCTAGCACAATATCTGGTACATAGTAATGATATTAAAGCGAATATTTATTGAACTTTACTGTGTATCAGATACTTTTAAGAGCTTTATATCTGTTATTCTATTTAATCTCCCTAAGAATTGCATAGTCAGATACTATTAGTAATTGAAGTTTTGGATAGCTGATGACTAATTCCCCTTTCTTCTCCCTGTGAGTTTGGAACAAGTTTAGAAATAAGACAGGTGATAGATAAGTGGAGATCAAAATGTTGGCTTTATTACTAATAAAATTAATTGGCAATTGTGGCTTAAATTCTACAACTAAAAGAGCTGGTATACTTCCTCCCAAATTGAACCTCCCCCCAAAAACAACAAAACAAGCAAAACCAGGATCTTGCCCTTACAGGGACAAATCCTAATCCTCCAAGCTAAAAGCAGAATTTATGTGTGCTCTAGGCAGGCTGTTCCTGACTGGGAGGGAAACTGGAAAGAACTGAGGCCATCATGCTCTGTTTCTTCTCCCAAGCTCAGCAGTTAGTCCTCTGTCTGTCCTGGAGAGGAATGAGTGAAGGACACAGAGAAACTGGAAATGTTCTTTTTAGGACCTGGGAAATGGAGTGGGACATCTTTTTTTTTTTTAAGATTTTATTTATTTATTTGACAGAGATAGAGCACAAGCAGGGGGAGTGGCAGGCAGAGGCAGAGGGAGAGGGAGAAGCAGGCTCCCCGCTGAGCAGAGAGCCTGATGTGAGGCTCGAGGAGTGGAACATCTTTTGCCTGTGTGGAAACATGAGTGCAGAATGTTCCCCCTGACAATAGTAATAATAATAATGATGATGATGATAGCTAATGTTCTGTGAGCTAATAAAATGCCAGGTACTGTTCTAATTCCTTTCATAATTTACCTCATTCAAACCTCACAATTGTCTTTTTACAGAAGAGGAAGCCGACACACAGAAGTTAAGTAACTTTCTCAAGATTACAGAGCTACTAAGTAGCAGAGATGGGATTCAAGACCAAATGGTCAATAAAACTTTATTGAAATATGTCTTATTGTAATAAGTGGTATATTTTATTCTATAGTCCTTCAGTTAGTCTAGCCTTATCTTGCTTTCAGATGAACATCTGATATATAGTTTGAACCTTAAAAAACATTAGTTTTCCTTTTTATTTTTTTATTTTTAAAAGATTTTTATTTATTCATTTGAGAGAGAATGAGATAGAGAGAGCATGAGAGGGGGGAGGGTCAGAGGGAGAAGCAGACTCCCTGCCGAGCAGGGAGGCCCGATGCGGGACTCGATCCTGGTACTCCAGGATCATGACCTGAGCTGAAGGCAGTCGCTTAACCAACTGAGCCACCCAGGCGCCCTAGTTTTCCTTTTTAAAGAAAGCTATAAGCAATTTTTCCAGTCCAGATGTCCTTGTAAGTGCATACTTTGAGACCCTCCACTGCACCAAACAAAAATCAATGATTGGTTTAACCCCCCCACCCCAAAACCCAAAGAACCAAAACAAAACAAAAAAACCCTGGTGATCGGTGAAATCAGAGAAATTTAAAGAGACATACTTTGCTAAAACAAACTAAAAGCAAGAAAATAAACCTATCTGGAACAGAAATGGAATAGAAACATTAAGAAGTAGGCAGAAGCAGAAGCCTAGTCGTTGAAAGATGTGCTCCTCTGGGCAAAATGAACACGAAGCTGAGAAAGGCAGGAATCTTCCAATTACAGATGGAGGCTGAAGAAAAGACATCTTAGAGAAACTGCAGATCTTCAAGGTTAATTTTAAAAGGAGAAATCTTAAAAAAAATAAAAGGAGAAATCTTAAAAGTGAGCAGAGAGAAAGGAAATATTATCTACAAATTAGACTGACAGCAGACTTTGCAGCAGTAACAGTTGATGCCAGGAGAAATAATCAAGTGCTATTAACTATTAAATGTATCATTCTATTTGTAGTAAACCTTCAGTCAAGAGCAAGGGTGAAAGAGGAACAATTTTAAAGACACACAGATTGAGAATTTACTGCCCACAGACCCTTTATCTATACTGAATAGTGGAGGTAGAGAAGTGATCCCAAAGGGAAGATGTAGGAAGTAACAGCAAGTTACAGCAAGATACAAAAAAATGGTTACAACGTTAGTGAATGCAGTTAACTACTGACAGCAAACTAACATGCAAACAAAAACTTAATACGTAATAAGTTATATGTTTTAAGGTAAAAACAAACTAGACCATTGTTATTCAAAGAACAGTTTGTGGACCAGAGCAGACA